CTCCTGGGAGTTGGGGTGGGGTGGGTATGCCCCATAACAAGTCTTCCACCCCAGAAGCCAGAAGCTCCAGCCCATAGAGAGGAGGTGCTGAGGCCTCAGAGGAGCATCAGGTGTGGGTTTTCCCCAAATCCTTGGCCAAATGCAGGATTTGGTGCAGACCCTGATGCACGCTACTGTCCAGCCAGGAGTTTCTCTTCCACTCCTGGGTAGCTATTTTGGGACCTCCACTGCAGATGCCTTCTAGATTATTCTACCCCCAGCACTTCTTGGGCCTCATTTGATACTTTGGAGGTAAACAAAAACATGTACCCCCTCCAGGGTCTGTCAGGAGCCCTTACTCTGAGTTCTTCAGTCTGAATGACAGAGAACTTGGCCTGGGGAGGTGAACACACAGGTGTGCACAGAGTCGTGCACAGACATGCAGAGAGCATGTGTGCCAAGATATACACAAGTGTGTGCACACACCTGCAGAGAGCTGGTAGGTCCATGTCTCTGAGGCAGTGCCAGACCCCTGTTCTGTCTTTTCCAGTTTGAAACTGAGAAGTGGAAGCTGGGTCAGGGGGAGGTCTAGGCTCTTTGCAGGCAGCATCCTGCCACCTTGAGCATCACATCTTGGCCCTGGCCACTCCCCCCAGGACCGTCCTGGCATCTTCTCAGCTGGCCTGGACCTGACAGAGATGTGCGGGAAGAACCCAGCCCACTACGCTGAGTACTGGAAGGCTGTGCAGGAGTTGTGGCTAAGGCTCTACCCATCCAACCTGGTGCTGGTTGCCGCCATCAATGTGAGTGTACCCACCCCACAGGGTCATCTGTGGCTCTTTGGGACTAACCTAGGGTGGGGGGCCAACACCACCTGGGCCAGAAATGGAAAAAGACCCACCCAGGGCTGGGGTAGTGGCTAGCAATAGAGCGTTCACCTAGCACATTTGAGGCCCTGGGTTGGATCCTCAGCACCACATAAAACAGTAAATAAATAAAATAAAGGTATATAAAAAAAGTGTATCTTAAAGCAAGAAAGAAAGGAAAGAAAAAAGATCCACCCGCTGCAGGCTGGGTCTGGAGGGAGTGGTGGGCCAAATCTACATTTTGGAAACATTGTTCAGCCAGTCTTGGGGAAGACAAGAGGCTGCGGAAGGGGACAGGGTCATCTTCATGAATCATTGTGCTCCAGGGGAGGGAAGAGATGCTGGTGGCATAGTATAAATTGGGTTCCTGAGGAAAGCCACTTATTTTCCTAACCAGAGATTTAGGAAAAGTGATTTTTCTAGCAGGGCATGGTGGCACAAGCCTGTAATCACCAGCTATTTGAGAGGCTGAGGCAGGAGGTTCAAAAGTTTGAGGCCAACTTGGGAAACTTAACAAGACCGTCTCAAAATAAAAGAGGCTGGGGGTGTAGGTGAGAAGTAGAGTGCTGGACTGGGTTCAGTGCGAGGCCTTTGGTTCATCTCCAGTACCAACAACAAGAAGTTAACAAGTGTTTTTCTGCCCCTGAAAACCTGAGCCCCTGCAGAAACCCTTGCTACTGAGCCTAAAGGGCCAGTTTCTTCTCTCCATCATGTACTTTCAAGGCAGATTGTTGATGCAGCACCCAAAGAGGGGGTGCTGGGGTACCCTGTGAGCTCATGCCCACCCCCAGGCCCTTCCTGGGGTGTCCTGGGGCATCCTTGGGCCCTGGCCCCCTAGGAAACTGTTGGGACAGCAGCACCTCCAGAGCCCTCACTGTCTGGCCTCTCCCTGCAGGGAGCCTCCCCCGCTGGAGGCTGCTTGATGTCCCTTATCTGTGACTACCGCATATTGGCAGACAACCCCAAGTACGTCATAGGACTAAACGAGACTCTGCTGGGCATCATAGCCCCTTTCTGGTAAGGCCAGGACTGTTCCCACACTACCTGACCCTGGACGGAACACACCCTCCTTGGAGCCCCAGAGTAAGCAGGTATCTGTATTCCAGGTTCAAAGACACCCTGGTGAATACCATCGGGCACCGAGCCTCAGAGCGTGCTCTACAGCTGGGGCTGCTTTTCCCGCCAGCAGAGGCCCTCCAGGTGGGTATGGTGGACCAGGTGGTGCCTGAGGATCAGGTGCAGAGCACAGCACTCTCGATGATGAGCCAGTGGATGGCCATTCCAGGTGAGGAGCAAGGGGAGCCGAGTAGGACCGTAGCACCCTCCCTCTACCTTCTCCCCTCAGACGACCCATCTGGTGAGGTCAGCTCTGTGAACATCCTGAACATATGCAGGGCTGCTCACAACAGCAGGCTGTGTTGGTGCCCTGGGGCTGCCATGACACAGGACCGTCTAGGTGGCTTGAAGCCACAGAAAATTTACTCTCACAATCCTAGAGACAAGGTCCAAAATCAAAGTGCCATCGGAGCTCCACCAGCAGCTGGACAGGCAGGTGGCTGCAGGCATTCCTCAGCTGTGGCTGCATTGCTCCAGTCTGCCTACTTCCTCATGTGGCCTTGTCCCCCGAGTCTCAGATCTTCCTCTCTCCCCTCAGGGCACCTGCCATCAGATTAGGGCCTTCTTTGTATCCAGGATGATCTCATCTTTATTTTTGCAGTGCTGGGGGTGGAACCCCAGAGTCTCACAAGCCTGTACCCCTGGGCCACACCCCAGCCTTTGGGTCTCATCTCATTTATAGCTGCAGAGGTTTTTTTCCATGAAGGTTACTTTGCACATTCTGGAATGGGGTCAGGTCTTGGGCAGTAAGGTCACTTGGCAGGTTCTGGAGTGGGGTTGGAATTTGGGCAGTAAGGTCACTTGGCAGGTTCTAGAGTGGGGGTCAGGACTTGAGCACAGTCTTTTTGGGGTCCCACTGCTCTTCAGCCCACTACAAAGACAAAGGGAATCTCCCAGTCTGTTTATAGAAATAGGGTTGGTCACCTCAACCATGATACAGAGCAGGGACCATAGACCTTGTCCGTGAAGAGCCAGGCTATTGGTCAGCGTGAGAGGCCACAGGCCCCTGTAAGTGGCCCTGCAGCAGGAGGGCACCCCAGGGAGCAGGAGCTGGTGGCTGCAGCTATGTTTCAGTGAAATGCAGAACACAAAAATGAGTATCTCATACTTCTGTCATCATATGATATCCTTTCTTTTTTTTCCTACTATTTAAAAATGTAAAGACCATTCATATCTCTAGGAGCCAGTTTGCCACCTCCCAATAGGAACAAACAATGAATATTTAATGACATGGAAAATATTCTCAATAGTAAAATTCTGTGAAAATAACAGGCTAAAAAGCAACTTTTACAATATCATTCTAATTGTGTTTTGGAGAAATCAGTGGAAACAGGTGACTTTCTTCTATTTATTTTGGGGGGCGGGGGCAGTGCCAGGGATTGAACACAAAGGCACTTAACCACTGAGCCATATCTCTGTCCCTTTTTTTATTTTTTGAGACAGAGTTTCTCTGTTGCTTAGGGCCTTTCTAAGTTACTGAAGCTGGCTTTGAACCTGTAATCCTCCTGTCTCAGCCTCCCAAGCCAATGGAATTACATGCATGTGCCACCATGCTCAGCTCATCTGCGTTTTCTAAGTTCTCTAGAAGAGTTTCCATTTGAACACTCATAGAAAGATTGGGAATTATCCCACTATCTCCAAAAATGGGTTTTCACAGGGGATCCCATTTTCTTTAGACTACGCTCGACAGCTGACCAAGATCATGATGCGAAAGCCCACAGTGGACCACATGATCAAACAGCGAGAGGCTGACCTCCAGAACTTTATCAGCTTCATCTCCAGAGACTCCATCCAGAAATCCCTGCAGATGTACTTAGAAAAACTCAAACAAAAGAAAGGCTAGGGTGAGGCTGCCACTTGGTCATTTGTGCCCTGTGGGGGCCTAGTGGTCCCAAAGGGATTTTAAACAAGGTATTTTTTATTTTTAAAGTTCTCTCAGCTTTTGTTTTCCTCATCTTAGACAGAAAGTCCTGCTCCTTGTAGCCCTGAGTCTCAAGGCCCCATCACCACCGATGGCCATGTTTCTGCCAGGTAGACAGATAGGATCTATACTTTAGAACTGAATGACAGGTAGGCTGCTCAGGGCCCTGGACAAGGTCACACTGAGTGTTCCTTTTCCCAAAGGAAAACTGAATAAAGTCCTCACATTGTCCCATTCCTGACCTTTGGCTGCCTGCTTGTTGGAGACCTTCAAAGCTAGGTAGTCTCAGACCCCTAGTGACCCACAAGACCACTGGAGAAAAGCCCTTGGCCACCATGCTTGTTCATTTGGATGGAGGGTCTGGACAAACTTGGGAGGGACAAGGGAAGCATGGCTTATTCTGAGGCATGTGGTGCTGCCAAGGTCCTACATCTTGAGAATTCTCCTAATTCTCCAATCTTTCATCTTGAGATGAAAGATTCCCTGCCGTACAATTCAGTTGCATCCCCCAGTCCTGCCAGAATGAAGTGTCCCAACACCAGAAGCCTCCAGCCCTGCTCTCGGAGCTGCTCATCTGCTCCTGAGGTGATGCTTGTCCTACACAGGCCCCCATCCTCAGGTCCCTGCTAGTCCAGGACTCCGAGGACCTACACAGGCTGTGCATAGGTGAGGTGTGTGTTCCTTGGGTAGGACCTTAGCCCCAAGCAACCAGCCCATCCTCAAGGGCCCCCAAAAGTTGCCGGGGAGCTGACTGGCTAGAGCATGGGACCAGCTTCCTCAGTCTCCCCTGTAACACTGGGTGAAATAGGGCCTCTGGTTCAGATAAGGCTCCAGACGGCAAGATGGGCAGAGCTCTACTCTTAAATCAGAGGGCCCAGCTGTGCTCACAGTGTGGGTTTTTGCAGTTTACACAAAGAGGAGGGAACTTCCTTGAGCTGACTTCCAGGCCAGCATGGTTTGGAGGTGGCCAGTTTCCATGAGGACATGAGTTGGGCAGGCCAAGCTGTCCCTGTTCCCTAAGAGACCAGAGATCATGGACCTAACCAGGTTGTAGGGCCAAGGCTTGCATCAAAGAAGGGCTAAGTCCTAAAAAGAGACAGAGGCCTCAGAGTCAGCCCAAGAGTGGTCCTGGCCCAGTGGCTTATTTATTACCCAAACATGTTCCAGGCACTAGCTAGGCAACTTTGGAGGGTACTCCTCACAACAACCCTCTGAGGTAGGTGGTGTTAGCCCTTCTTACAGATGGGACACTGAGGCTCTGAGTAGTACTGTAATGTGACTGTGCCACCCTTTCACACCCAGCTGACCCTTCCCTGCATTCATTCTTCTGCTACCCCAAATGATCCACAGTGCTGCCAAGTCTGCAGGTGATGTGCCCTAGCCTAGCCACAGGGCTGTCAGTGGGACTTGAGGGTCACCTCCACTGGAAAATGGTCACTGATGGCAAGAGCCTGAAAGAAAAGGGGACAGAACTTCAGCCATCCTGCTAGGCAGCTTATTTCTTGTCCCCCTCCCCTGAATTGGAGCCACCTGGGTGTCCTCCCCTGAGGCTATTCCCAGACTGGGGATGGGGGGCACACCCTGAAGGTCTAGGGATCCTTGACCGTGAGTGCCCTTGTAGGGTGGGAAGTGCTAACTGTAAACCGCCTGTCTGAAGCAGGAATAGACTGGCAGGCCCTCACAACCATGTATGCCAGGGTCTTTCAGGCCCAGGGATGGGAACTGCCCCTGCCTGCACCGACCTGGGCCTGGTCCAGGCCAAACTCTTCCTGGAAGTCATGCACCGAGGCTGACTGAGGCTTCAGGCTCCTGCGCAAGTGGGCTCCGCACACCACAATGCGGTCATAGGCACAGTCGGAGTTGCCCACCGTGGTGTCAGCGCTGTCCGGGATGAGCCACTTGAAGACCTCACTGCTGCGCAGTCGGATGGCCGCCCAGTCCTGTGCCCGCACGTAGTTGCAGTCCGCATTGAAATCGCCCAGGAAAACCATGTCCTGCGGGCGCCACCAAGCTGGGTCTGAGCTGCATGCCCGCAGGCCCAGACTCCCAGAGCTCGCCTATGGGATGGGGGGCGGGGCGCGGAGCTTACGTCGGTGCCCCACTTGTCAATCAGGTCCAGGTACACGTCGTAGAGGGCGTCGATCTCTGCCACCGCCTGGTGTGGCGCAGCGTGCAGTGGAATCAACACCAGCTCCTTGACAGCTGTGGGGGCGGGCTGGTGTTAGGGCGGGAAGGGACAGGATGGGACCGGAGTAGGGGCGGGGCTGGCCTCACCTGTGGCAGGGACTGAGAACTTGACCACGAAAGGTTCGCGGCTGAAGGCATCCTCGGGGTCTGGGTACTGGTAAGTGTCCACAACCGACACTTTGTCTTTCCTGGAAGCAGAGAACCGGCGGTCCGCTGAGCCGCCACCTTGGCCCTGCATGCCCCCTCCCTGCAGCCCACAAGCGCACCTATAAATGAACAGGTACATTTCCTTGTACTGGTCCCGACCCAGAGGCTGGCTGCTCACGAAGCTGTATTCATGCTTCGACACGCTGTGGAGAGATATGCCAGGCCCCAGGTCAAGGCATGAAGCCTGTCCTCGCAGCAAGGGGTCATGGCGCTAGACCCTGCCCACTGCACCTGTTGATCTGCTCCATGAGCGCTGACACTGCGCTCAGGTCCGGGTCACGCACCTCCTGTACCAGCATGATGTGGTAACCAGCCAGGATCTGGCGGAGGAGACCGCGGGTGCAGAGTTGTGAGCAGCCTCGCTGACTGGCCCACAAACCCCAGCTGCAGCCCCGCCTCCAGCCCCCAAGCCTCACCTGCGCGATGACGTTGCCACAGGCTGGGTCAGACACTTTGTTGTCACCAAAGCTCTGGATGTTGAAGGCTCCAATGCGCAGCGCTGCTGCCCCTATGGCCCACAGTGCCCAGAGCATTGCCAGCAGGACCCAGGGCCTGCTCATGGCACCAGGGAAGTGGGCTGGAAAGGACAGATGGAATGGGCCAGTAACACCAATCCTCACCCAGCTATGGTCCAGGAGGGGTCTGTGGCCCAGCACGGGCCTGAGCAAAAGCACATTCTACTGCACTTTCCAGGTCTCAGGATGGGTTCTTAGCCCCATGACCAGTCTCCCACTAGATGGAGAAACTGAGGTCCCAAGTCAGGATGCCATTCCCACCCAGTCCCCAGTTCAACTCGGCCTCAAAATTTACCTGGATGTGGATAAGAGGCGGTGTCAGAGGCTCAGGGGTCCTGGTCCAAGGAGGGATACAGGTTCCTTCTGGGGGCCTGTGGCTGGCCCTGGACAGACTTGCCCGGTCTTAGTTGACAACTGGCTCTGGCCCCAGGGCACTGGCTACTATTTGAGGCCCTGGTTCAGGAAGGGGCTGGGCTATAACTGAGCCCCACCCCCTCCATGGAGTGGATGCTACAACTCCTGACTCCCATTCTCATGGAGACCCCCCAGAGGGCAAGAGAAAGAACCTACCCTGAGCAAGTTCTAGTGCCCAGGTCTGTCCCAGAACATCCCCAAAGCCCCTGATAGCTCCCCAAGGAAGTCTCAGGATTGTGGTAGAGGGACAGCCACACCCATGGTCCAGGCTTGTTCTTGTCTCCACCTTCCCAGAAACTAGGTCACCCAGTATCTGCCTTCTTGAGCCACATCCTCTTGGAACAGGCAGCACGACAGTAAAGACCAGTCCCATTCCTGGCCCAGCCTCTCTTGCTGCCTGGTCAGCACTGTCTTCACCTCCATGAAAAGCTGAGGCTTCTCAGCCCAACCTGAGGCTCCTGGTTCTCTCAGCCTTCCAAAGGCAGCTGTAGGTAGGAGTCTGGGAAGCAGCACCTATCTCCTCCCCCTGCCCCAGGCCTGGGGAAGCTGGGATCACAGGTGGGTAGGGAGTGGCAGGAGGCTGCCCATCAACATACCAGTGACACCCACACCATTGAGTCGCCAGGGCTGGCAGAAGCCCTGAGTTACTGGCCAGGCACAGAAACCTAGAGGACTGCCTGGGCAGATGGGGGCCACCAGCAATACCTGTGAAGGCAGGACCAGGCCCCAACATCACAAGCTACATATTTTATTCATGTTTTATTGTAAAGAAACAAAAACCACATATTTACATTCCCCGTCTGATTTGAACACCTGAAATTCTGGGCAGTCTTCTCTACCAGGCCAGGCAGTCCTGGGCACTCAGGTCGGGACCAGTACAAGGATAACCCTGTCCCTTTCCCAGCCTAGCTGGGACCCCACAGGTCCCATGCTAGACGATGACCGTCTGTACCTCAAGCTGGCCCTCTGGTGAGGCAATGACCAGCTCGCCTGCATGCTCAAGGATTTCAATGTCCTCTGATGACACCATTGTTACAGTAGCCTGTTCAGTGCCGTTTGCACCTGTACGAGCCGCAAGCACAGTACCCTCACTGATGGCTGAGGCCAGTGTCATGGCCACCTGCTCAGTCAGGCTCTCGGGGGTGGCGATGGTGATCGTGTCTGCAGCAGCTGCCTCTGGACCCAGTCCTGCCTCCTGGTCCATGGTCACATTCTGCACGATGATCTGGTGCCCAGCGCTGGCCTGGTGCACAATCTGCTGTACCACCTTCATGATGTGGCTGTCCACCTGCAGGGCCACAGCTCAGCCCAAGGTGTCCAGGAGGCCAGGCTGCCCTCCCACTCCTTGCCAAGCCCCTCACCTCTGTCTGGGTGCCCTCAATGATCTCTGTGGCTTCAGTGGTCTCTGTGTCATCTGCAGTGGCCTGGGCAGAACATCTGAGGTCAGCCTGGGCTGTCCCAGTGCCATCCCAGCCCCACCAGGCCTGCCACACACCTCAATGATGTACTCCTGGGTATCGGCCACCACAGATGAGAACTCTACCAGCACTGTGTGGGGGTCCTCCGCAAGCACGGTGGCAGCTGCTGAGGGGCTCTCCTCTGATACCAGCACCTCCTCCACCTCCAGAAGGCAACCCCCTGCCAGCAGGAAGCTCAGTCAGGGCTCAGTGACCCCCAGCCTCACCTCCTCCCACCATCTGCTGGCCCAGACCTTTGGTGCGCAGGTGCCGGTTAAGTGTGCCATGCTCAGCAAAACCACGGCCGCACTTGTAGCATTTGAAGGGCTTCTCGCCTGTGTGATGCCGCACATGCCGCACCAATGAGCCTTTCTCCCGGAATCCTCGGCTACAGAACTGGCACACATGTGGCTTCTCCTCCAAGTGTGTTCGGAAGTGCACTTGCTGGGCATTCTGCAGAGACCAGTCCATGACAGCCTGACCTTGGCCACAGGAAGCCAGGGCTCTCCCCACCCACCCCTGGCCTGAGCCAACTGGGTAGGCTGGGGTAAGGAAGGAAGTTGGGACATGGAACAAGGCCCATCTGGCCCCAGGGACAGGGAGCTGAGGATGGGGTCAGCGCCAGGATCCTGGGGCCAGAAGCCCACCTTTGTCTTGTAGCGCTTGCCACACTGGGGACAAGGGAAGGGCCGCTCATCTGAATGGACGCGCCGGTGGCCGCGCACGTGGGCGACGGTCTTGTAGAGCTTCCCGCAGTCCCCGCAGCGAAAGCGGCGCTCGTGCACATGCGCCTCCTGGTGCTTCCTGAGCAGATAGGCCTTGGGGAAGGCCTTGCCACACTGCGCACAGGGGAAGGGCCTTGGCCCTGCGGCCAAGCCAGCATCAGCCAGGCCCGCTGCCCAAAGCCCACCTGCTCCTCGCTGTCCACGGACCCATCCACCCTCCTGCCACCCACCTGCATGGCCTCTCTTATGGGCCTCCAGGGTGGCTGCTGTTGGGAAGGTCTCACTGCATTGAGGGCATGGGTGGGTCTTGGGCACAGTGGAAGCCTCGCTGGACATCTGCTGGGGAATCACAGGCAGGCATCTAATACCCACTGCAGGCTCTGCCCCTGCAGTGCCAAAGACAAGGCCCAGGGCTCCATCCTGGCAGTCTGCCTCACAGCACCAGAGAGGGCAGAAATAGGCCAGTGGACAGTCACTCCAGAAAGCAATGCTACTTTATGCCACAGGCAGTGCAAGGAGGCACCAGTGTCCAACCCACAAAGGAGCATCCCAGCAGCACAAACACCTACTGTCTCCATCGGCTGCACTTCCAGCAGTGGCAATTCCGGGGATCTATCTCCCAGGGGCTGTGGACTGGACCCAGAGGCAGGGGCTGCTTCCAGGGCACCCTCCTCTCCAGCAACTCTCTCAAGAACAATGCCAGAGTTCTGCATGGCCTGGTGCAGCAGGTTTTCACGACTACCCTCACGAGAACAGGGAAGCTCCTCAGGAGCTGGGGGCTTCAGGGAGGCAGAAGGAAAGAGGCTGACCACACAGCCCAACACAAAACACCCACCCCTCCCACCACACAAGGCAGACCCATGCCAAGCCCAGGGTCCCCCAAGGTCTTGTGTACATCTTCAGAATCTCATAGGATGAAGCCAAGTCCTCCCCTGTCATGCCTTGACTCCCCAGATCACTTTCCTTCTGACATGCTATTTGCTAAGGAGCTTTCCCACCTCCCCTGCAAACAGACAGCTGTAGAGGTAGACCCAAACCTCCTATTCCTATTGGAGCCAGTGCCCTACACACAACCTGGCACTGAGCAGGCAGAAGGAAAGTGGCACTGCAGGGCTCCTTGAGCCAGCCCCTACCTCTGGAGCCAAAGCTTTCATGCCCAGGGGCAGCTCCTGCATCTGGACATGGACTTCATGGATGACGGTGCCCTTGGCATCTGTCACCAGGTGAATCACAGGTGATGTCTCCATGGATTCGCCTGTCACTGATGATGAAGTAACCGGCCCGACCGTGGAGGTGCCCGACCCTTTAAGGCAGAGTCAAGTGAGTCTCTGAAGAACACCCCCACTGGTGGCACCTGGGCCCGCAGCTAAGGCCAGGAACAGCAGCTCCAGGAACCCAGGCAGCCTCCCCACCACGTTCACCTGCAGATACGTCCTCTTTGCCCACAACCACATCCTTGCTCATGCTGAAGCGGATTTTCTCTGTGCATGGGGTGAGAGACTTGAGGTGACGGGTCAGCGCACCCGATTCCCGAAAGCTCTTCCCGCACTTGGTGCACTTGTAGGGGCGCTCATCTGTGGAGAGAATGGAGTCATCCCTGGGGTAATGACAACCTGTAACAAGGATGAGGCGGGCATGGAACCCCTGCCACTTTGCCAGGGAGCTAGGGACACAAGGCCTGGGTAGGGTGTCCCCAGGGCCAGGCCCCAGGCTGCTCACCAGTGTGCCGTCGGTGGTGCCGGATGAGTGAGCCCTTGGTCCGAAAGGAGGCCCCGCAGAGCTTGCACTCGTGGTCCTTGCGGCTGCTGTGGGTGACCATGTGGGCCTTGAGGATGCTGCCCTGCAGGGGAGGGGCAGCAAGGCTCAGGGCACCTCCCCAGACAGGAGCAGGCAGGAGGCCTGGCCGGCCCGTGGCCCCAGGGGCTCACCGTTTTGAAGGTCTTGTGACACAGCATGCACACGTAGCGGCCTTCCTTGTTCACCAGCAGCTTGACTTGGGCCTGCTCGCCCTCCCCAGCAAGCCCGAGCCCCTGATGGTTGGGACTGCCTGGGGCCTCAGCCATCTCGTTGTTCCCTGGCTCTGCCTCAGCAGCCACAATGACCTCTTTGATGTGCCCACTGCCTAAGGAAAGGCAGGTCAACATAAGCCTTGGGCTGCACCACAGCCCTGCCTGCAAGGATTCCTAAGAGGGAGACTTCTAAATGCCCTGGAACTGTCCAGACCATCCCTGCCCCTGGCATGGGAACTGCTGCTCTGGGCTAAGCCCCAGAGCCAACCAACACTGAGGAAAATCAACACAGAGGCCCCAAGGGGCCAGCAGGGAGCTGCTCAGCCTGAGGTCAGCCTGACAGGGTAACAACCCCCCTCCATGAAGTTGCTTGGAGGAGATCCAGCACTCCCAGAATGTACCTAGTAAAGAGACCCACCACGAGCAAAGATGTCCCTTCCCCTAAGCCAAGGAGGGGGTTGTGGGTCCTGGCAACAGGTGCCTGGGCACAGACAGGATAAACTAGCCCAGTTCTCTGCATCTGTCCTGCTGACTGCACCAATCCCACTAGGGAAAAAGATGTTGTTTCAACTCATCTTCTGATTGGGATGCTGGTGGACAGGCAGGCAGGCAGGCCCAGTTGGAGCCTTGTCCCACCACAAGCTGGGGTTACCAGGAGATGGGAGGGTGTGAACACTTCCCAGATAGCCCCAAGAACGGAAGGTGGAACTGGGCACAATGGCCATGCCTGTGATCCCAGCAACTCAGGAGGCTGAGGCACTAGGATCACGAGTTTGAGGCCAGCCTCAGCAACTTAGACCCTGTCTCAAAATAAAAAAAGGGCTGGGGGTGTAGCTCAGTTGTAGAGCACCCCAGGTTCAATATCCAGGGACACACATACCCCAAAAAAGAAACTTGGGATTTTGCACTTGTCATGAGGTGCTGAGATATCTGACAATGTGCAAGACTAGGCCATAAACACGCTTCCCATTGCCTGTTTGTAAAAGTGACAAGTGGAAAACAACTGTGAAGATGCCTCCTAGAACCCTCTCTGTCCAGCTGGAGACTTGTTGTGACAAGTCATTCTCTCGAAACAATAAAAACACCATGACTCAGAAACAACTAAGGGCATCTCTTGCCCATGCCTGGCTGACACACGCAATGCCCCAGGAGTATCTTCCCAGAGGACAGAGATGTGATGGGCAAGAGACTAAGGGGAACACAGCTACACCAACCCAAGAGGAAACCAGTTTGTGTCCAAAGCAGTAGCAGGAGGGGCTGTCACCCCTTAGTCCTTGCTGACTGCACCCTGTACCCAAGAGGACTGAGCCCAGCACAGCAAATCTTCCTCACTGCCCTTTCCCTACCCAAGACCAATAGAAATGCTGGTAGCTCTTGGCTCCTGCCCACCCAGGAGGCCTACAAAGGGGGACATTTTCAAGTGTGCAAGAGACAGGAGTACCCAGAGATGGACCCTTGAAGTACAAGCCATGGCTACCATCCCAAGCAAAGGCTTAGAACCACTGGAGGTCAGAGGTAGGTGGAAAGGGCCTGACTGGCCAAAGGCCCAGAGCCTGGATATGCTGCTGGAACGTAGGGAATTTGTTTTCCCAAATGACACCACCTATCTCAGAAACCGAACTCTGTGCCAAGGCCAGAGCACAGCCCCACCCCCACATGACACAGGACATTCCTAAGCCTGAGTGGTAATAAGAAGTGTCTCTGTCTTGGGGAAATCAGAGGAAAGGCGGTGTAGAGACCAGGACAGGTGTCCCAGCCTCCTCCCTGGGGAGGCTTGCCCATTCAGAGGCTCCCCTTCCCAAACCAAAGGCTGGCCTCCCCTATACATCTTCCCTCTTCCTGCCCCAACCAGTCCCCATTACTTCCCAAGGCCAAGTCCTACCTGTTGCCCAAACCTACTTCCTGTCCAGCTACCCACTCATCCACCTGCCTTGGCCCCTACCCAGCAGGCACTCCAAGTACCAACAGGTCCCTCCCAACTTCCCACCACATCAGACCCTACCCAGCTACTCATCCCCACCTGTCAAGGCCTGGGCTGCCCTTTGAAAGTCCCCCTGCACACTCAGTGGTCCCCACTTAATGAGCACATAACCCAATCCAGACCTAGCTACACCCCCTCTCCCAGTGCAAATCAGCAAGGCATTTAAATTTAAAACACAGCCATTAAAGAGGCTCAGCGTCCTATGCTCATAAAAGCCCTGTGAGAACATGCTGATGAAAGCACTGGGGAAGGTTAAGGTCAGGGAGCATGTTGGGGCCAGCTGCAGCAGCAACTCCACCCCACACCTACCCTCCAAAACCAACTGCTAGGGTGGGTGGGCCATTCAGGGATTCCCCATGCTGGGTACTGCCGGGGGCAGAAAGCAGGGGGTGGCTGATAAGTGAGGAAGACTCTAGGAGGGCAGAGACAGCCTGGGAGAACATGGAGAAGAGAGAAACCAGCTCATGAAGGAGCACCAACCAGCTCATGTGCAAGCTACTGCAGATGCAGCAAGGAATGTCCTGGTCCCCTCTTGGAAAAGCCTGGCATCTGATACACCTTCCTCCTGTAGGCCCTGCCTGGGGAGGCTCACACCAGGCCTCCACCCCTTCATGGCTAGGCCAGCTCTCAGGAGAGCAGAGGTACAGACAGCTATCAGACCGGTGACACCTTAGGCAGCTGGCTTACCAACAAGGTCAGGAGCGTGGCTGATATCTGCTGCTAGAGAGGCTGCCTCCACCACAATGTGGGCCACGGTGATGGGCTCTTCTGGGCCTGCTGCTGCTGGCACCACCTATTGATAGGGGACAGAGGACAGAGAGGATGCATTTGTGGTCTCCAGAATTTCAAGGGAAGGGCCTGGACTCCCTTGCAGTAAAGTTTTGAAGAAGTAGGCTTGGGGAGTACAGACCTGGTCCATGTCCTCCAAAATGGCTGGGGTGGGGACGCTGCTCTTTCCCCAAAGGCCCACAGCCCCTGCAACCCGGGGCTGGAGGGTCGAGCCCATCACTCTAAGCCTTGAGTCACCATGGCTGGACATGGAGCATGGAGCACTGAACACCCACTAGGTAATCACTAGCAACGCTGGTACGAAGCTGGGCTGTGGTGAGGAATGGACTTGCAACACCCATACCCACAGCCCCAGTCAGGTCAGAGGAAGGGCCCTGGGGCTGGGGGCCTTTCTGGAGAAGACAACATCTTGGGGAGGGGGCAGAGGGTAAAGAGCACAAGGTCTGACTGAAACCACCCTGTTCAAGTGTCATCTGAACCACTCTCTGATGGTGGCCTGAGGCCACTGACTTCTTGAGCCTCCTTTCTTCTGTCCCATGAGGATGGCAAGCACTCCCTCTGCTGAGCAAGGGTGTTATGGAAGGTCGTAAGACGACATACAGCTCCAGCACACCTTGGGACTCAACAAAGTGCACCATTTTTATGAGAAGGTGGCAAGCCCCACGGGATGCTGCTTGGTTTGTGAGATTCCCAGAAATTATGTATATAAGACAGGAGGCAGGCCAAAAAAGACAAAAGCCACCATGATACTACTATTGCAGGAAGCAGCATTTATTAGTGCCAGCCTTGCCCAGAGGATCTATATCCAAAGGCTGAGCCAGAGCATAGCGGGCTGTTGCCATCTATACCCTTAGTCCCTGGTTACATGTCAGCCCCTTTGTCTCTCCTATATGGTAACATACATTCTGACTGGGTAACTGCACATGTGTGCCATGTGGTCCCTTTGCTCTGGGGATACATGTGCACATAGCTACTGAGTGCATCATATCACTTCTCTCTGTTCTGGGAGAGCCCTTACCACAGTCCCCCTTTTAATGCTCAGATCCCCTCAGGGTTAAAGAGCATCATCCTGATCCAACAACTTATATTTCCATAATATCAAAACATAATATGGGGGCTGGGGTTGTGGCTCAGAGATGGAGTGTTTGCCTAGCATGCTTGAGGTGCTGGATTCGATCCTCAGCACCACATAAAATAGATATTGTGTCCACCTATAATTAAAAAATAAATATTTTTTTAAAAACTCACAATGTGGCCATTTTCCTTTCGAAGACAGCTTCCATGAAACTGGAGACAGACCTCATAACCACGGGTAGCAGGCAAGAGTAAGCAGACCCCAGCATTAAAACCATAACACTTATGAAAGTTTTCAAACCCCTAAAATTTGAAAACATCCTCCAGATAATTCCCTGGGATTCCAACTTTTCCAGATCTAGAGAGGGACATGGGTGATCTTTCTTGTACAATCCATGATTTTTTTCCATGACCTTGCCTTCAACATCTATTTGTACACAATAGTTGCCTAAGTTAAATTTCCCACATACTCCACCTTCAGAAACAAGCAAGTAGTCTAGAGCTGAGCGATTTTGATAAATAAATAGCATTATACATTTGTTTGGTCAGTAAATTGAGGGCTCTTGCAGTTTCATTAGTTATAATTTCAACTATAGCCTGTAGCTTGATAATAATATTTAACATACAGATGGGAGTACAGGTGACAGGGCATAATGGTGAATTATCCTTTCAGGAGGACATTCATCATCTTTCCAGTTTTGGATTTCCAGGGCTTGCCACTCACTTTGGGCCCGTTGGTCTTCATATATAGGGACTCACAACTGCTCCCCTTTAGCTAATGGAAAGAGAAAAAGGAGGGGTGAATTGTCCAGTATACAAGATCAGGAGCAGAACTGGGGTAGTCTAGCACGACAGGCCCTTCCACATACCTAGTACAGTCCACCTGGGGTTCTCCATTTGATATCTATGCCGGCATTATCCCAGCCCTGTTTGAGGTTAGGGAAATTTGACAGAGTGGGATTTTCTTCTATGTGATTTTGAGGATCCCTACCACTGGATTTTCTGGGTAGTTATGTTATAGAATTTTGTGCCCAGTCATGGTAAAGTTCCAGCTGAGATGTTAAACTGTTTGCCCTCTCAGGTAAGACAATATTTCCCAATAATTGAGATTTTCAGGAACCAAACACCAGTAGTTGAATGAAGAGACATTGTTTCACTACAGGGCTCATGAAGGTCTCTACCCACTAGCAAGAAGAGATATTCAGAGATTGAACTATAGTTTCTGCTAAGGCTAGGAAAAGGTTTCTGGTTTTGGAGGAGATGGGGAATTCGGTTTTCATCTCTTCATGAAAGGAATGAAAAATTTGGTGCAGGGAAGTGCAAGTGCAAGTGTGCCTTTTTTGGGGGGTGCTTAACCACTGAGACACATCCCCAGCCCTTTTTTATATTTTATTTATAGACAGGGTCTTGCTGAGTTGCCTAGGGCCTAAGTTGCTGAAGCTGGCTTTGAACTCACAATCCTCCTGCCCCAGCTTCCCAAATCACTGGGATTACAAGTGTGCACTACTGTACCCAGCCGAGTTGGTACCTTTGATGTGTATTGGGACCTAGGGGTTTGTGTCCCACCCATATACAACTACACCAGTTTTGTGGCCAATTTTCCATCTTGAATCCCCTAGGTCAAGGATAGTAAAATTAAGAGGGTTACAGGCTCCTGGATTAGAGCTGAGCATGGCATCACCCTTTTGGAGAATTGGTGTGTTACATTTACCTGCCAAGTAGACCATGAAACAGCTCCAGGAGGGACAATAACCACTGTTATTAATGCAACCAGGTTCAGCAGAGGGCTGCTAATATGCTTTTATCATAGAGCCTGTACTCCCGTTCCCAAAATAACCCCCCACAAACCTCTACAGACCATAAAGATCAGTACTTATCTATGACTTCACACATGTCAAAGAGCACTGACACTGGGTGCTTGGGATCAATAATTTGGGATCAGTTAATTATTTGACCCATATTGTCACTGCTTCAGATCTCTAGCCACTCCTCAGTTGGGGAGTACTATGGGTCAAAACAAGTGTATTGGTCCCCTTTGCTAGTAGATAGAATAGGTGATCTTATTATGTTTTACAGGTCCCTGAAACTTACTTGACAGTAAAAATGGATATAATAAAGTAGGGTTGTGGCAATGGCTCACCTGATCAAGTCATGTGAAGGTTTGGGTCACAGAATGAAGAACTTAAGTCCACAAACAAGAGCCAGGTCAGACATAGCCAATAGCAATGAAACATCCGATCAAAAGGAGGTAAAAGACTGCTCATAGAGACTTCTAAACCTAGTGCCAGCTGGCTAGAGCAGCCTCTGCTAATCCTATTGTGAAAATTAAAGCTAACGGGTTGGGGATACAGCTCAGTTGGTAGAGTGCTTGCCTTGCATGCACAAAGCCATAGGTTCAGTCCCCAGTATCACTAAAAAAAAAAAAAAAAAAATTAAAGCTAAGAAGATCACAACAAAGAGATGGACAAGAGGTGATCATGCCAAATCATTATAGCAAGGAGGCCAATAAAGGAAATAAGAACAGTCCATTTATCGCAGCAGGTGATCAGTTCCTCAAGCTTCTGCTGGGGGTAGATTAGTCATCAGCTCCCACTTGACTAAAGCAGGGCTGTTGTCCATAGGCTCTCAGATGGCCGACTTGCATAGTACAGCTGGCTCAGGAATACTCCCAGTCAGGAGAAGCTGGTTTCATTCTGCTGTAGTGAACCCAGGGGACCATCTCACCCATCTTCACTAGTCCTAGTATAGGTGGGTTTCCTGACACAGGTAGATTAGCTTTTACTTTAGAATTCAGTTCATTTGCCCACTTTCTCAGAGCTCTCGGGACAGTATGCAGTATGTAACTTCCAGGTGATCTTCAACCCTTTTGTCACCAATTGTACCACCTCAGCCACGAATATCAGCTCATTTTCCAATCCCTTGGTGACTGGGATTCCAAACCAAGGAATGATTTCCTTTAGGAGAAATCAGGCCACTTCATGTGCCTTCTCTGTGTGAGTAGGAAAGGCCTCTATCCAGCCTGAGAAAGTACACACAAAGACTAGAAATACTTATAGTTTCAGACCCAGGGAGCTCAGTGAAGTCCACAATTATATCTTCAAATGGGGCCCCTCCAATGCTTTGCACCCCAGAGGAGGCCTTAGATCCCTGGTGCAGATAATTTCAGGCACATGTTTCACATTGTTCGCACACCACTCGGGCATGCTGGAGAGCTGGGGAATGTAGAAATGTTGGCTGGATGTAGCCTCAAGTGCTGTCCAGCCAACATGGGTCTCAGTTTTAAACCAGGGGTTCTCATGTTGTAACTGGGGTCCAATTTTGCCAACAGACTAGGAAATAGGGTGGTAGTTTGGGCCATTGGTTCTGTTGCCCCGTTGAAGGCCATGAACTTTGCCTCTTGGTCTGCTTTATGATTTCCCTGAGCAACCATGATGCTTCCTCTTTGATGTCCCTGACAATGCATCTCTGTCACCTGTTTAGGAGCGCATTTAGCATCTAAGAGTTCAAGGATTTCTTTGCCATACTTTATGTCTTTCCCTAATGAGTTGATTAGGCCCTTTTCTTCATACAAAGCTCGGTTACGTGGAGAGTGGTGAAGGCTCATTTAGAGTCTGTGTATATATTGGCATGTATCTCTGCCACCAGTTGAAGGGCACAGGTCAGCGCAGTAAGTTCTGCTTTTTGTGCCAAGGTTCCTTTTGGCAGAGGTTTTGCCTCAATGGTGAATTTTAGGGTCACCACAGAGTACCCAGTAAGGTGTTCTCCCTCTTCCACAAAACTGCTACTATTGGTGAAGCATTCAACATCAGGATCTTTAAGAGGCTGGTCTGTTAAGTCCAATCCACTGGAAAATACCTCATCCATAATTTCCACGCAGTCATGGTATGGTCGACCTGCCCCTACAGGCAGTAGGGGTGTAGGGTTTAAGGTCCACACTACTTCTAGGTGGATGTGCGGATTTTCACACAGCCTTCCCTGATATCCAATCAACTAGGCATCAGTCAGCCAATATTGTCCCTTAATCTTTATGTCAGCACTAAGTATGGCACTCGAATATTTAATTCTTGTCCCACAGTCAGTTTGTCGCCTCTGATGCCAAGAGGGCCATAGCCACTCTATGGCTGGCCGGCCTCAGGCTACAGAATCAAGTTGCTTAGAGAAGTATGCCACTGGACAATGCCATGACCCAACATCTGAGTCAGGATTCCCACTGAAACCCCAGTACACCTGTGCACATACAAAAAGAAAGGCTCAGGCACATCTGGGAGTCCCAAGCCAGGTGCATTGGTGAGGATCTTCTTGATTTCCTCAAAGGCCTTTTGTTGATCTCATTCCATAAAAAGGTTCTCCCTCTCCCTCCTTGTGGCTTCATAAAGGGGTTTTGCAAAGATGGAGAAGTTAGGTATCCAGAGTCTACAGAAACCTGCAGCCCTGAGGAACTCCTGGACCATTCTCAGGATATTCCCACTGAAAGATGATGACTGCTAGACTCGGAGGGACCAGGTACATACACAAGAAGGCATCCTTGACTTCCAGGCATGTAAGTTAGGCAACTTCAGTAGGGATGAGGCCCAGGAGAGTATAGGGGCTAGGGACAGCAGGACATAGGATAACAGCAGCCTGGTTTACTGCTCGTTGGTCCTGAACCAGCTGATAGTCATCTATTCCTGGATTTTAGACTGGCAGGAGAGGTGTGTTCCAGGATGACTGGCAGGATTGGAGGATTCCATACTTTAGAAGTCTCTCCAGTTGTCTCTGGATCTCAATTTGTGGCTTGCAAGGAATGCAATATTATTTTTGGCACTCAAGGCCAGCCCCTAGCTACTTCTACTACTATTGGGAGTATGTTTCAGGCCAGTCCTAGAGGATTGTCTTAGCCCACACCCCAGATACTCTGAAAGGAAGCTCAGATCCCTGTTGTGGCCTTTCCATGAGAATGTAGAGGCACCACTCTTCTCCTTGGGGGACCAAGAGAGTCAAGATCTTCACTTCTGGCTTTCCTAGAGTCAGGGTGGCTTGGCCATGAGAGTTAAAAGTTATCTGGGCCTGCACTTTCCCAATGGGTCCTGACCACTAAAGCCACAGGACAGTCAGGGAGGTATAGGAATTCATGAATAACTTCACAGCTGCCTAAACTGCACCAGCAAGGCAGTAAGAAGAAGCAACAAGCTCAGCTGCCTGTGGCTCCCACTATAGAGGTTTGTCTCAGGTTAATTCACCACCGAATATTCTGCCCCAGTATCAACCGTAAGTCCATGGTCCGACCCCCCATGATCATATGGACCATAAGCTCCTGGGGGCCTAACATAATGAAGTCCAGTCTGTCCTAGTCTTCCTCAAAGTTTTCCATGGCAGCCAATCCAACAAAATCATCCTCAAGGACTTCATATGGTTGCCATGGTAGTTGGTTATCCTTGAACCACTCAACTGCTCTTGCTTTGTCCAGTGACTGCGTGATAATCCTATGACTGTTGGGGACACTCATTATTCCAGTGACCTTAACAGCAATGAGCACACTTGTTTCATTCTAATGTCACCTTTGGGTGAGGTGGTTCTTCTTGTTGGCTCCCTCTATGGCCTCAGCTCTGGCCCAATAGGACACTTCTCTGGGAGTGCCCTGACCATTCCCCAGGGTGGTAGCAAGCAGACCTACCTTCTTTTTCATTTTCCAGTCTACCTCATGTTAGGCTTCTTGGTCTTGGTTGACAAATACTTTTGTCACAACTTGCAGTAGTTGGCTGGCATTCATTCCAATGAAGCCCTCTAGCCTCTATAGCTTATGCCATATGTCTCCCTGGGTCTGACCAACAAAGGCTGCATGAACCACTGGCTAACTTTCATCTGCTTCTGAGTTGAAGACGATGTAAAAACAGAACATTTCACATAGCCTCTCATAGAATTGACTGGGGCTTTCTTCTGATCCCTGAGCACCTCTGAAGTCTTTCTTGCTCATGTTCACGACCTTCCTTCCTTCTTCCTTCATGCAGCCTAAAACATCCTCTTGATAATGCTAAAGCATCTGAAATCCTTGGTCATCATTAGGGTCCCATGAGAGATCTTCCTCAGCGATCTGGCTCTGAGCGTAAGCCGGGACATTCATACTTCCTGCTGGGGCAGGTTCCTCCAACCACTTTAACAACTTTAATTGGGTGGCATTCTTCAGTGTTAAACAGAGTCAGGAGTAACTGGCCACAATCAATCCAAGTGGGCTTGTGGGTCTGAATAATAGATTGCATTAAATCAATCATAGTCTGAGATTTGTCAGTGAAGGAGAGGATTTTTCCAATTCAAGAGATCAGTGGAAATAAAAGGCTGATATATGAAGGTTTACTGTCCCCTTTGCACCTGAGAGTATATGGGTTTAAGACTGGCGGCCATGGGGTGGCTATACTTGGGGCATTTTGGGTGGCCTCAGGGGTGTGGCCTCAGGGCTCCAGCTGCAGGAGGCACGAAGAGTGCAGGCAGCAGTGGAGAAAGCAGTGGTGTGCAAGGCACAAGAATCCCGCTGGCTCCAGCATCTTGAAGGGGCCATCACTGGGCGATCATGATGTAATAGCTCCCTCCCAGAAAGGAAGCCTCAGCGAGCGCAGCTGAGAGAAGACTATGTCTTGCCAACAGTCAATGCAGGAGAATGGGTCCCTACAATGACCCTAAGTACCTTGATAAATAGTTCTTTATCTAGTGATCTCTTGGACGGCCAACCGAAAAAGGTCAATCTATTTCAGAGAAGGCCTAAAGTTTCTTTTTTGAAATTTTTAGTCATATACTCTAGGGGGGTAAACTTACTCTGTTTGCCACCTATTTCCTCCCCCTAAGAGATGACAATCACATACATAAGAAGGGAAAGGGGTAAGAAAGCCATCTCTGGCAGCTCTCCTCATGGAGATATTTCAGGCACCTTTTAGCATTGGCAGCCTGACCCAGACCATGCTCGTAGACCTTGAAGAGAGCCTGGCACTGCTCTAAGCCATATGAGGATCACCAGAATTCTGCACTTGCTTCGTGCTCAGCCTGTTTCATTCAGTCACCATTCACTCGCATTCAAACAGTGCCTCCAATCTGCAGCCCAGTACGTTAAAAGTACAGTTTAATTCATGAAATTGAGCTATTCAGGTAACTCTAGAGAGTGATCGGGCTCCCCTTCTGCCACTTAGGGGAAGGTCCACCTCTTGCACCTGGGTTTCTACTATGTGACAGGTGGCACTACTGCGCTGGTTCCTGGGCTCCACCAAGTTCCTTGGTACTCCTGAGATCCTTGCCCTAGCATTCTGGGAGGGATAATCTCCTAAGGATCAATTTGTATGCTGGCACCAGGCAAGGTCACCTCTCCCCGAGTCCCAGGGCCCCTAGCAACAGGGGAGATGAAATCACCATCTCTAAATCCAGGATGAGCCCTCAAGAAATGTTGTGGGATTCTCACCCAGAGACAGAACATCTGTGCTTTCACCAGGAAGTAGCATTTATTAGTGCGGCACTGGCCCAGCAAGTTCGAATCCAAAGGCTGAGCCCTGAGCGCAGTGGGGCGTTGCCTTATTTACCCTCTCTTAGTTCCTGGTTACATGTCATCCCCTTTGTCTCCCCAGTGCGGCATTGCCTTATTTACCCTCTCTTAGTCCCCGGTTACATGTCAGCCCCTTTGTCTCCCCTATGTGGTAACATACATTCTGTGACAGAGCTGCGATGCAGCTGCACATGTGCACAGACATAGTGCACATAGACTGGGCCGAATTGCCTGACAGAGCCATGCATGCTCACACAGTTACTGAGGGTGCCGTGTCACCTTCCCTCTGTTCTTGGAGAGCCATTACCACAGAGAGAAGGGACCTCAGTCTCCCAGCTATACAGGCTGCTGAAAGGGCTAGCATACCCCAGGATATCCAGAAAGTCCCAGAGAACTGCCAGGTTCTTCATGGCACAGCCTGAACCCTCCTTCACCCATGGTCAGATGCCTGCCCTCTGCCTACCCATCAGTCAGCAGGAACCAGCTGCACAGGTATGTCTTGGCACTCTGTTGCCTTCTTCTCCTATTAGGTGATCTCAGGGAGGGCAGTGTGTGCAGTGGCAGTGGGGTAGCAACTCACCTCCTGGCCCAGCAGTGCAGTTGTGGCAGGGGTGGTAGGCAGAGGCTCCTGCGGGGCCCGCTGGCAGGCCTTCTGAATCTTGTGCTGAACAAAATCTTCCAAGGCAGTGAATTCCACCTGGCAGCGGCCACATCTATGCACATCATCCTCATCTGAAATGAGCACGTTGTCAGGGACTTTGAGGAGGCAACCAGTATCCCATCCAGCTTCCCCTCCAACCCCAGACCAGACTCATCCAACGATGGCAGAAGAACCAGAATTCCTACCCCATCCCTCCCAGAGGCTGCTGAAAATGTGCTTAGGGCACCCAGAGCTAGGGAATATCAGGTTATAGCCCCCATCCTCTGGAAGTCTGCAGAAGCAAGGCTCACACCAGGGAGAATAGTATTCTGTAGAAGTGGCCCTGACCACACACTCAGGTTGCAAGGATCCAGTGATGCTGTCATGCCCAAGAGCTCCTTAAAGGGAAAGAGGCTCAGGAGGGCCTGAAGCAGAGGGACTTACCCAAGCCAGTCTGGGGACAGTAGAGGACTAGAATTCAAGACAGGTAAGGACTAGGGATATTGTTTACTTGCCTAGCATAGCAAGGCCCTAGGTTTGATCCCCAGCACTACAGAAAATAAAAAGACTGCTGGGGACTAAAAGTGCCCTTGGACATCTCAGTGACCACCTCTAAGTCATTTCCTCATCTGACCTGATTCAAGTGTGTAGGGCATATAGGGGCACAGTAGGCTAGCCCACCAGGATCTGCTAAAAGGTCAGCCTTTGAAAAACACAGGAACAGCAGGGCCCTGCCCTGTGAATACCCTTACTTTTTGTTGTTGGTGGTGGTGGTGAGGATCAAATCCAGGGACTTGCACATACTAGGCAAGTGTTCCACCACTTGGCTACATCACCAGCCTCCAACCACTCTTTCCTTCCTGATTTGATATTTCATAGATCCCCAACAGGAAAGCACCCCTGCTCAGGTGTGTATGTTAAGAGGGGCTCCACATCCCTGAGCCACCATACCTGAGTCCCTCACCACCACTGTGACTATCCTAAGACCTGCAGGAGAGACTTCCTACTCATTGAATCCTTAATGTGGGTCATGCACCTTCTGGGAAGTTCACCAAATTCTGCCAGCACCTTGGGGAAATGGATGCCTACTCCCTAACTAAAAAAATGACTTGAGGTTCAAGTTCACACAGATGAACCTAAAGATCCACCCAAATGTCCTGCTTCTGTAAAAGTCTTTCAGTTCCCAAAAAACACACCCAGTCCCACATCAAAGTCTAATAAAGGCCTGGTGCATGGAAGGAGGCTGGCCAAAGCTTGTTGAATTAATTAGAGAATAAAGGGCCAGATCATGACTGTGACTCTCCCACCAAATCATCTAAAAAAGGGAATCCCACCAGATAGTTCACAGTCACAAACTAAGAGGTGCCTACCATCCTCTTAACCTCCTACCCACTCATGAGAGTTCAGCTTGGCACTAGGGTAACATTTTTGGAGAAACCTCTATAGAAGAACCCAACCCATTTTACTGAGACAAGGCAATGGACAGGTTCAGTTGGGCACAGCAACCACTAGAGGGACCCCTCTCAGGTTGGCCCTGTCCCTCTCCAAGCCGGAATAAGGGGCCAGAAAAATATGTACAGACTATGAAACTGGTGTGAACAAAGCCAAGACCACCTTGACCTCAATATCACTAGCCAATACTTCCTATATGTTCCAATGCACCGACTGGTGGGACAAGTTCAGAGTAGAAACCTAAGAGGTCACCAAAAGCTATCAGTACCTGATGAATGAGTCCTGAGCATGTCCCAGTACTCTCCTCAGCTCTTTACACACACACGTTAATTCTCATCACCCTCCTATGTGTGACAGCAGAACCCAGAAACTAAAGGGGCTGAGTTGAGGAACTAACTACACAGTCCTGAAATCCAATCGGGTCCTTGCTAGATGGGTGACCTGGTCACTTGCACATCCATGAAACTCAATTTTCCCCATCCTTAAAGTGGGAGTGAATAACAACATTGACATCTCAGGGTTCGTTTCAGGATCCTAAAGGCTGATGCAGAGTTAAGTTCTCGGAACATCTTGGAGACGCCCCTCCACCTTGCTGGAGAGATGGAGGCTGTCTTCCACAGGGATCTGCTGGCTGACGCCCGGACCGGCACAGAGCCCCACCCCACCCCAGTCTCGCCCCAGCCACGACCTTAATGGCCCGCCAGGTGAGGTGGGAGGGGCGGAGGGGGCACGGCCGGTGACGTTTGCTTGGGTCCACTGGGAGGACTGGGGCTTGGGTGCCTACGAGCGCGCACTGGAGGCCTGTGTGTGGTGGGCGCCCCGCAGAGAGGTCCAAGAGGGTCGAGAGGGTTGCGGGGCCCCGCGGGCTCGCGAGAAGGCTGGATCCGGGAAGGTCTGCGTGTCCACAGCCCGAGCCGCCGGGCTCCACCAGTCCAGGCTGCGCCTCCCCCACCCCGGCCGCTGCGGGCCCGCCAGACCCCGTTACCTTCCTCGCTGAAGGGCGCTGAGAGGCCGAGAAAGCCGCCTGGAGCCAAAGCCGCTGCTGCGACCCCGCCCTCGCCCGCTTCACGCCCGGCTTCGGCCCGGGCTTCTGCCGTATGAGCGGCCGTCACCCGCACTGCCATCGCGCCCTCCATGTCGCAACGCGCCGCAGGAAGATGGCGGATTTACGACCGTGTCGTCATAACAACGGGCCGCTCCGAGGCCAACGTGAAGGAACTGCGAAAGGGAGACAGGGGCGGGGCCAGTGCGGGCTTGACAGACAGGCGTGAGGGGCGGGGCCTTGGGTGTGGCCTGGAGCGGAGTCTGGGCGGGTCTACTGGTTAGGGTGTAGCAAATTGATTGGCGGAGAGATCCGCGGCTTGGGCGTGGTGTGTCCCATTGGGCGTGTCCAGACTGGAAGAGCCTGGGAAGAAAGTGGGCCTAGGTGCCAAGTGTTGCAGCCAGACTTGAGAACCAGAGAAAGAGGAAGGCGCACTGGGTGGCGCAACCCGGCCAGGGTCCTCCGGAGCGAACCCGGTGGGAGGTCGCCCTGCCACAATCTCCAGAGGGCCGTCACCGATTTAGGGTACTAAGGGATCGGTGCTCACCAAACTCCGTCGCCCCCAGAAGTTGTTGACACCAGTCACATGAAAGAATCCTAGTGCAGGATGGCTCATGCACAGCTTTGCAAAGCGTTTTATTTTATATTTTTAATTGTGGCAAATACACATAAAGTTTACCATTAGTAAGTGACATTTAGTGTACTCACAATATTGAGCTCACCCATTGCCTCTATCTAGTACCAGAATTTTTTTTTTTTTAACCCAGGGGGTTAAACCCAGGGTCTTGCTCATGCTACACCCTCAGCATTTTTTGAGACAAGGTTGCTAAATTACTCAGGGCGACCTCAAATTTGTGATCCTCCTGCCTCAGCCTCCACAATAGCTGGGATTATAGGCATGTGCTACCACTAATGGCTAGTTCCAGAAGATTTCCATTATCCCAAAAGGAAACCTGTACCCATTGAACACTCATTCTCCATTCTCTACGCCCCTCACCCCAGCTCTGGAAACTACCAATCTACTTGATCTTCATTGATTTGCCTGTTCAGGACATAAGTGGAATCATACATTATGTACCCTTTTAGGCCTAACTTCTTTGCAAGATTCATCCATGCCCTAGTCTATGTCACTGCTTCATTACTTCGTTACTTTTTTGGGGGGTGGGGGGGGGGGTGCTGGGGATTGAATCCAGGAGTGCTTTACCATTGAGCTACAAACTCAATCTGCCTTATTTGGGTGGGGGGTGTACCAGGGATTGAACTCAGGGGCTCTAGACCACTGAGCCACATCCCCAGCCCTATTATGTATTTTATTTAGAGACAGGGTCTCATTGAGTAGCTTAGCACCCAGCTATTGCTGAGGCTCGCTTCAAACTTACAATCCTCCTCAGTCTCCCAAACTGCTGGGATTACAGGTATGTGCCACCGCACCTGGCTCAGTTTACTTTTATTTTCTAAAACTGTAAATCTATGTAACACTATGAAGACTGAATAACAACTGTCCTTGTACTGTCTAAAACCATCCCATATTATACTAGTGCTACTAGTATCACTTGGGGGAGGGGCACTGGTGCCATTCACTGGAAGGTATATACTGAATGCCTACCATGAACTGGGCACACTTCATGAAGGACTTCTCTCCCATTTACACAGCCACCCCACCTCTCCACCCTAGGTCAGTTCTCCCCCATGAAGACCAGTGTCCCTTCCAGACTCCTCCACCACCTTGTCCACAACCATCCTCTATAGGCACATAGGCATGCCCAGCAGATGTTAAACCAAACAGACGTAGCACAGCTCAGCTTTGGTTTTGAGAGAGCATTATCCCACCTGCATTGTCCCTTTGGTGGCTCTATGTGGCTGTTTCCTGGGCTATAGACAGGGATACTAACACTCCTATCCTCTCAGGGTTGTTCTGTGATTCTGACCAGATCATGCAGGTGAGAAGCAGCACTTGCTTGCTGAATGCTACAAGTGTAACCCAAGGTCATTAGGCAAGTGTTGGAGAAGTCTAGCTGCCTGGACATCATCAGTGTTTCCTGTTTTGGCAAGTATATCAAATAACTGCGTGTTGCTGGGTGCTAAAAGCAGAGTTTGTGATCTTTTGTCAAATGCAGTTCTTCCCAGGGTCAGCTTGGCCACCAAACCTAAATATGAAGACCCAAAGAAGAAGGTTTTCTCCCGAGCAGTGGGTGCTCCAGGCAGGAACACTTTGCAGGCTCTGCCCTTCTGGGCTGTGGTCCCTGTCCTCCAGGGGTTTCCAGGCCAGCAGAGACCAACAGGAATGGGATGTTATATAAATAAACAGTACTACAAGGGAACCCAGTTCACTAGCTTTACCTGATGGGTTTTGGAGTCAGGGTGGGGACCAATCTAGAAGAGGCTTTATAGAGCACTAGGGCCCACGAGAGAAGGAGAGGGTTGACAAACTTGAACTTGGGAGTATAAGTGTCCTGGCACAGGGTTGGCCCTCAGGAAACTGGGAACCACTATTGTTCTGACAGCTGACCCTAGTGAAAGTGATATTAATAAACATACACTTACCCTATGACCTAAAGATTCCACTCCTAAGTATATTCTTGAGAAATGAGTGCTGAGCACAGTGGCACACACCTATAATCCAAGCAACTTGGGAGGCTGAGGCAGGAGGATTGCAAGTTCAAACAAGCCTGGAAAACACAGCTAGACCCTATCTCAAAATACAAAGTATTAAAAGGGCTAAGGATGTAGCTCAGTAGTAGAAAATCCCTGGGTTTAATTCCCAGTACTGCCAAAAGAGAAAAAAAGAAATGAGTGATGTCCACATATATAAGAACAAGAATATTCACAAGGACATTATTTACAATAGCCCCAAACTGGAAACAACTCCAAAATCCATCAGTGGAAGGTCAGACATCAGTGGATGGGTGGGTGGTATATTTGACAATGGCCCACAGGACAATTAAATAAAATTTTAAAATAGACTATGAAGGATCACAGATATTTTTTTAAACTTTGTTTTGTTTTAGCTGTATATGGATACAATATCTTTGTTTTTATTTATTTATTTGTATATGGTGCTGAGGTTATCAAGTGCTCTACCACTGAGCTACAACACCAGCCCAGATTTCACAGACATTATGTTGAATCAAGGAACCAAGACACAGAAGGGTACATGTGGTTTATAAAATGGTCTACCAGGGTGTGGTGGCACAGACCTGTAATCCCAGTGACTTGGGAAGCTAAGGCAGGAAGATCCCAAGTTCCAGGTCAGCGTAAGCAATTTAGCAAGACTCTTTCTCAAAAGAGAGTGTTGTTCAGTGGTAGAGCACCCCTGGGCTCAATCCCCAACACCACACAAAGATGGTCTAGAACAGGGAAACTAGGCTCTGATTCCATATGACAGAAACAAGAACTGTGTTTGGTAAAGCTGACGACTGGGTGAGAACATGAGGGGACTTTCTGAGGTGTTGGAAATAGTTCACAGTTGACCTGGCATATAAGTATATATAAATTTCACTGAGCTGCACATTTGAGATTCACATCCTTGGGGCTGGGACTCAGTGGTAGAGCGCTTGCCTAGCACGTGTGAGGCACTGGATTCTATCCTCAGCACCAGATATCAATGAATAAAACAAAGGTATTGTGTCCATCTACAATTTAAAATAAAACTAAAAAAAAATCACATCCTTTGTGTTACGCCTCAATAAAGTTAATATTAACCGATAATGACGACAATAGCGACCAGTTACTGGGTACTGAGTTCCGCCCGCCCCCTAGACCGCACTCCCACCGCCTTGGAATCACTGGTTCCTGAGACCGCCGAGGCACAAGGAAAGGTTTGCGCAGAGGCCAGGAGGCGAATATACGAAGCTTCTTGGGAAGAATCCTTCCAGGAGCGGAAGGCACACCGCTCAAACGCCTGCACCGTGTCCGGAGCGTGTCCGGATACAGGCCCGCCGAAAGTGGGGACGTGACTCCAACCTCAGGCCGACAGCGGCCCCTCCCGCCACGCTCACGCGGAAAACCCCGCCCGCAAGACCTCGAGACTAGCCAGCCAATCAGCAGCCGGCCCGGCCTGGGGTCCCTTAACCATGGGCCTCCGTCACCTAGGCTGACCACCCGCCTCCAATGGGCGAGCTGCCCTGCAGCTGCCAATAAGCAGCGGCCTTACGTGTTGCGCCGCTCTCGGACAGCAGCGTCTCCACAGCGAGTGCTCTATTCCGAATGCCGGTTGGCGCCCTGCCAACCAAACACCAATGAGCCCCCAAGCCCTGTAGCCAATGGTCTGCCGCTTTCTTGTGTCCGGTCGAGGCGATTGGAGCCGAGCTCCCTCAGCCCGCAGAAGGCAGAGACGGATTGGCGCAGGCAGCTACCAATGGGCAACACGCGCGAGACCCAGAGCCAATGAGCGCTCCGGGGGCGGGGCGGACCCTGCGGCG